CCCCAAAACCCCAAAACCCCAAAACCCCAAAACCCCAAAACCCCAAAACCCCTGTTTTCAACATTTGAAATGAATGTTTAAGGTTAATTAAGCATAAATATTGATAATGTATTGATTGATTCATTTGCCTTCGTACCAGTTACTTGCTATCTTGGCATCTACCTCTAGCTTAACTCTTAATGGGTGATCTAAGGGATTCTCCATTATGAATCTTACTCTATCGAGTGCTTGTTAAGCCAAGTCTTCTGGTCCTTCCTAAGATAATCATGAATTTAAATGAATTTACCAGTATGACTTCATCATGAATTTATAAGAGAAGTTTGTAGCCTAGATCCTTAAGCTTTTAATCTTTATGCAACTTGACCATTGCAGCAGCAACTACATCAGCAGCTCCACCTTGGATTGGTGTATTAATTGCTGCTCTCAGACCATGTTCTCTCCTCATCTAGCCTTTATAACTTTTGCCTATATCATTTTCTTTAGCTTCAAAATGTTTTGTTAAGTTTCGATATCTCCCTAGAAGTGTCTGAGTCCATCCTCTACTTTTGGCAATAAATTATACATTAGATTGCCATTGCTTGACCTCTGGTCTATCTGCATACCAAAGATTAACTGTATTCTCAGCCTCTTCTCTGGAGCAATTCCAATCCTTCATGAATCCATGAACAGTCTTGCCATAAGCAATTGAAAAGTTCATGATCTTTGCCTTCTTTCTTTCATTTGCAAATTTATCTTTAAGCAATGGCTTAGGTGGAGCTCCTTATGAGTAATCCCATTCCAAAAGTATATTGCCCTCTTAAAGTTCACTTTTAATCTCTGGGTACATTCCCTATTTCGATATAAACACTTGGAGTATTACTTACTAAAGCAGTTCTGGAATGGAAATCACCTCCAAGCTTAAAGGCTTCAATCATTCCCTTACAATCAGTCATATGTGCAAGAATTCTAAGTTCTAGCTGTCCATAGTCAGCAACAATGAACCTCTTGCCAGGTTCAGCAACGAATGCTTTCCTTATTTTATACTGATCTTTGTCCAGAGCAGGCTGATTTTGAAGATTTGGTTTTCTGCAGCTGAGTCTTCCTGTTTCTGTATTAAGATTCATACTGCAGTGAATTCTGCCACTCTTATCTGGGGCTCTCTACAGAGGAATGATGTATGTATTCAAAAGAGTCTCAATAGACTTAAATTTAAGCCAATTCTGAAGTGCGATACTGCAATCAATTCCCAGCTAAGGTTAGCCGATTGAATCAAAATGCTCATAAGCTTTTCCGTACTTCCCCTTCTCTGGATTGCTTCCAGCAAGAACCTTAATGACTGGGGTATCTGCAGATGGGAGTCCACTTAAGGTGTATTCAATAGGCTTAATCCCCATTCCTGATATTATCATTTCCCTAAATTTGAGTGGCGAAGTTTTACCGTCTTTAACAAAACCCTATATATGTAAGTTCATAATGTGAAATGCTTACAGCTACATTCTCTACTCTGAAAGCTCTCTCTTTTGGATATTCAAATTCCTATTCATTTTCTTTACTAAAGTAAGTAACTCCCTTTTTATTAAATGGGGCAAACATCAGCTGAGACAGCTAATGAGCACTTGAGGCATTAAATTCCCTAGCATCAGGTTGAACCGAATGGATCCAGTCAAGAAATTTCTACTCGTATTCAATTTTGTCCTTTTCAGCTCTTAACTGTATATCTTTAAGATAATCTGTATCCACTTTAATGCCAACTCTTTCCATATCAGTGAGTAATTCTCCGAACGGTAACCAGTACTTGGTGTATAACTTAAGCATATCACCTAGACCCTCTTCTTCAGTTTTTAATTAGCATAGCATATTTGAGAGTGTTTCCTTTAGGAAAAAGGTGATCTCTGCATCAAAGCATGAGTAGTTAACCCAGTTCAATACATGCTTTTCATCAGTGTGCATCTCCTCAATGTTTGGGAAGATCATAATCTTTCCTTAAGTGCCATCCTTCAATTCCCTATAAAATCCAAAAGTCTCCTTTATGTTGATTTTGGTAATCTTTTCACAATTCTTTTCATAACTTGTCAAGCATTTTAATTACTATTCATTTTAAACTGGATCATTCTATAACTCTTTTCTTTTATCTTCAATGTACCTATTCCTAGTCTCTAAAATATCAATCTGCAAAATGTCAGTCAGAGCAGAGAGTGCATACTAGTTAGGCATTCTTGAAGGGTCATGCAGTCTAGCTAGATGCATGGTATCTCCTCCGAAGCCTTTGACATCAATGTTATGATTAAAAAAGATGTGTCTATCGAACCCGTAATTGTGCCAACACTTTTTGTACTTTGTATCCTCAAGATACTCTTTGAATTCCATTATTACTCCCTCTGCATCAGCATAGTTATCAATAAACAACCTTGGCCCATTGCCGAAGTCTACTTCAGGCCCAATGAATACTGAGGCACAAATAATCGTGCCATGTCCTACTGGACTATCTTCCTTAGCATCTATATTGATAGTCTCAGTATCCCAAGCATGCACTCTGTCCCCATACTGCTTCAAAATCTTAACTGCTTCTTTTGCTTCATTTCTCGTTCTAATTATAGTCGTTCCTTCTATGTTCAGGTTCTTGATGGCCTCATTGACACCATTTTTCAATCTGACCTTAAACTCTTCGTTTACTTTCGCCTCTGGTTCTTAAGCTTTCATATCTTCTTCTGTCAAAGAAGTGATAGACATGCTGCTGCTTGATGACTTCTCAGCATTCTTTTTAGGTTTTGGTGTCCTTGTTTTGGCTGGCTTAGTTCTATCAGGAACAATATCTTTAGAATCAGTAGTCAACTCCTTAATATTGTTTTTAATGTCATTAGTCAATGCATTTTTCTTTAATTTTTATTTTTTGCCACTGTTAATGCCACCACTATTGACATCATTTTTAACTTCTTCGAGAGTTGTAGGAGAGACATCACCAAGTACATTCAAGAAATCCTATTTCTTAATCTCATTACTAAATGCTCTCAGATTTATCGATTAACTCATCAGCATAATTTCTTATTTCTAGGTTGTTTAAAGGAGATGAAAATTAAGTAATTGGGTTTTTGGTAGAAATTGATGTCTTGGGTAAAATTGTATAAGTTTCTTGAATTATTTAGTGATCATCATTTCTTTATTAATATAGATCAACTTACTAATCTTAATATTTTATGATAAAGGGGTTTTGGGGTTTTGGGGTTTTGGGG